AGATCCTAATGCTAAGCTGGGAGTTTTGAGCTAACCAAGGCCAAATTTAGCTTGAGGTGTTGGGGAAGGAGATGCTGAGACAAGTGGAGCTGAGTGTCAGCCACCTGTGCAGAGCTGGAGTGGAGAACAGCTTTGCATGCAGCACCTTGGCAGCTATCTGCACTTGTCTGGCCAAAGACAGATCATCTTGGGGTCAGCATCACACCAAGGACTGCTGAGAGCAGTGACAGCCCAGATCTCTCCCGCTATGTGCTCCAGAGCTGTGGATGCTCTCCTAACCTTTTACCGTTTGCTTGCAAAGCCTTGGCAGCAGGGAGCAGAGCAGGAGTGTCTCTGGGCTCCTGCCAGCAGATGTTCTGGGGACCTGTCTGGTCTAGTTTGCATGTGACTGTGACAGGTGGGCTGTGAGCACACAGCCTTGGTCTTCACTTCCTAGGCTGTGATTAAACTTGCATGACGTTTCCTTCCATCGAGCAGTCCCTGGGGCTGGAGCTCTTCTCCTCCCTGCTGGGGGTGGGCACCTCTCAGATGTCAGGCTGGGAGCACAACCCAGCCACACCACACCAGCACACGGATCTGCCTCGAAGATGGCCAGAGCAGAGAACAAGAACAGGATGGGCGCATGGGGACCCTCTCCTCAAAGTCTCCCAGCCTCCAGCAGTGGGATATAAGTCTCTTCACTACACCTTTTCATCCCAATATTTGTCCCGCTGCACTTTGTCCTACTCATGTAAACTCCTGACATCCAAACCACCCGTGGCACAATGCTCCATAGTCTGTACCTGCCCAGGGTGCTCAGCCATCTCTTTCTGTTGGCTCTGCACTCGCCAGCTGCCAGCTTCACGGGATGCCCCCAGCTCTGTCATCACTTGACAGCTGCTCCCTTATTCACTAACTCCATGCCACAGGCAGCTCTGCAGGTCTGGAGAACAGTAGCACCTCAGCTGTGTCTCTTTCAAGCTGAGGAGCACGGGGAGCTTTGTGACCCAACTCACACACACGGGAGCCCTCCTTTCTTGTTTTGAAGCAGAGCAGTCACAGTAGCATGGAGGAGCAGTGGGAAAAGGGTGCTGCCCCTGGCCTGACCACACCTTGGGTGTTACCTGCTCAGAGACCAGCGGTGAGCACAGCTCTGCTCCATTTGCTCTCCATTTATCCAGTTCAACCTGCTCTTGCTTAGCTCAGTGCAACAGCTATTCTCGCTAAGCTAAAGCTTTTCTGGCTTCTTTTTTGTTTTTTCAGTTCTGGCTTCGAGTGCCTGCTTGGACTGAGCTCATGGGATGCTGGATCAGATCTTCCTGTGCTCTCTGCTACTGAAATGCTACAGGGCCAGCTGGAAGAAGGTGGCTGACAGTATTTGGGCATCAGCCCTTTGACCTCAGTGGGGCAAACTGCTGTTCCCATATTGCAGAGTACCACTGTCTTCCTCCAGTTTGCATTCTGGGGAGCTGGAAAAGGCAGAGTGTATCGGCAGCTCACGTCCCTGTGTGGTCATGTGGTAGCTCCCTGCGAGTCTGGGCATGGATACCCCACTAAAGCCATCTAGTTCCAACCAGGGGAACAACAACACCAAGAAGCCATTCTCTATGATGGAGCCTTACACCTGCAAAGGCTGCCTGGGTGTTCGTTATTCCTCTTTCCTTTTCGAGGGAGAGTAGAAAGTCCCATATGTCAGCCCAGAAGCAATGCTGAGAGCATTAGGCACTGCCAACAAGAAGAACTGCCTTGCTGTGTGAAAGTTGGTGTTAGAGGTTCTCCTGCAGGAATGGCCAGGAATGAGTCCATAACCCCAGAGGAAAACATGAATATCTTTCTAGGGAACAGAGAGGTTTTAATTAGTGCTCCCTTCTGCATAAAGCCTGGCCCTCCTCCTCTAACTCCTCAGATGAACGCAGCTATAATTAAGAGGCAGCAGTGTCAGGAAGGAGAGCAGGCTCCAGCCTGTGATTTATTAAGGGCTGTCGTGGTTGCAATTAGCTTTCTCTCTTCCCCTCTCCTCAGTGTTTCCACAAAGTGAATTTGGTGATGAAAGGAGCGTCTCAGGCTCGGCCAAACGGGCGCCTCTGTGTTTATCATTCATTGCAGACAGAGCAAGGGCAGAGTTGCTGCTTTATTTTTCCCATAGGGAAAAAATTTCATGCTAATGAAAGCCTCCAACCTGGTGGGGAGGATTTCATATCTAGAAGTCTCAGTTCTGGCCTAAGCCCGTTATGTGTGAGCAGACTGGGGAAGGCTGGTGTAGGCTCAACCCTGTGTGCCTGCTGGCTTGAACCTACCTAATCACTGCCCTGCCAGCTGCAGATCTCCAAATTCCCTGGCAATGGCTGACAGTGCTGCTGGTTGCCTGAACTTTGGTTTACTGCCATTCAAATGGCCTGCAGTTTACCTTTGTAGGATATAAATCTGTACAGGCTGAGACTGATAAAACAGCAGGGAGGAAAAAAAAAAAAATAGAAAGGAAGCAGGAAGAACAAAATTGAAACAAATTCCGATTACGGGAAGGTTTAGGGGGGCAGTGGCTCAACTGCAAACCGAAACAAGGAAAGGTTTTGCTGGCTGCTCCCAAGGCGGTGCTGAAGACGCCACCAAAAGCAGAGTGCAATGGCCACTGAGGGAGCTGCCTTCACCTACATCAAGGCTGGGCTGGGGGGCTGTGGGCCATGATGGCCCAGTTGTGCCACACCTGCTCATCGTGACAGCCAGGGCTGTTGTGAAATCCTACCCACTGTCCCTTCCTGCCCTGTTTCTTAGTGCTTATGGTGCAGGTGAGTGCCCATGGTCAGTGGAAGGAAGCAAGTGTGCCTGCCGAGTGACAGCAATGTTGGGAAGTTTTTGGTTTGCTTCCTTGGTGGCACCACTGCAATTAAACCCTTGGGAGCATTCAGTGCACGGAACAAGGGCTGGGCTCTCTTGGGGAGGCGGATAGGAAATGTATCCAAATTGGTCCAGCCCTCAGCGACGAGCCCTTCCCTCCCTTCCTAATTGCCATTTCTCTTGATAGAGCTGAGCTGCTACCAGGAAATAAAACCACCAGGGCTTTTTTGCTTAACCCATTTGGCACAGCGCATTTGCAGGTGGTGCCTTCCCAGCCCAGGAGAAAGGAAGCAAACACAGCCAATGCCTCATTCGTGTGCACAAGACCAGCTCTCTCCAGCATCTCCTCCTGCTTGGATCACCTCTCTGTTGTGCACTGTGCTTTAAACAGAGTGGGAAGCTGGCTCTATCACTCCAGGAAGTCAGCAGACTTGCCTTGGCACTCCTGCTGGGGAAGGTTGGTGAGGCTTAGAGTATTTTTAGAGGGTGATTAATTTTATTGGTAACGATGACATCAAACTCATGGGCCAAAGGGCATGCACTGACACCTGCCCCAGAGGTGGGAGCAGTCCTGCTGATGGCTGTTATGTGAAACAGACATGGGGCTGGACTTCAGCCCCACACAAAGGGAAAATGGCTGAGTTGTCATTAACCCCACAAACCAGTCCTGACTGAACACACAGAGGGGGACCACGGTGTGGAGAAGAAACTGTGGATGCCCCATGCCTGGAGGTACCCAAATCCAGGCTGGATGGGACCCCGAGCAGCCTGATGGGGTGGGAGCAACCAGCCCACGGCAGGGCCTTGGAACTACATGGGCTTTAAGGTCGCTTCCAACCATGTCATTCTATGGCTCTATGATTCTATGATCCAGCCCTCAGGGTGTAACACCCCACGGCTCCCCCCGTGTGCTCAGCCTTGCTCCTGGACTTATTTCATATGGATGTTTCTCAAGCCCACACAAGCCAACTCATACATTTCCCGTTTTGCTCCTTTCTTTGTCTGTAAGAACTGAAACCTCCTCAGTCCTTCAGCCCATTGGGGTCTCTTCTGGATTTCTGTCCCTATGAACTTAACACGCTCATCCTGCATTATCCCATGCACCAATTTAAACCTTGCTTTCCTCCAGGGCAAAGCGAGGACCTTTGCCACTTTACAGACGCGTTCCCATATTGGATGCCAACCCCGTCTCCCCAGCTGCAATTTAAAGGGATTCGATCCTGTCTGCCCTGTGTGTGTGCTAAGGGCTGATTTTTCTCCTGTCAACTGAGAAATCGATCGCAGGATAGAACAGAGCTGGGAATGCACAGCTGTGAGTGGCACTCGCAAGTACTGTGTGGGTCTCCCTGTGGGGCATCAGATAGGGTCTGAGTATCAGCTGCCATTCCTTCAACTCAGAGAAGCCCTTTTTTAGGGATGGACCTCGCAGAAGCCGCATAGAGAGCTACTGGACAAACAGCTGCTGTGCATGACAGATCTGTGCCTCATGCAGCATTTCAGAGCAGCCCAGCAATGCAAGCGTTACTCCCCGTTGCCCTAATTACAGCAGGGCAATCACCATGTTTTACTATTGTTTTGTCTCACAGTTATTCTCCGTGCTCAGAAATAGCAACGTTGGTCACATCGTTACCCCCAAGCCTTGTTCTCAGTGAAGTTTGCACTGGTGTTTTCCAAGCAAATGAGTGAAAGGGGAAGGAGGGCTGCACTCGAACTTGGTGATAGAAGAGAAAGCTGTTGTGCACAGGGATGGCTCAGCACCAAGGCAAAGAATTTGCCAAGGTCACCAAAAGCAGCAGTTTGCAGAGGAGCCTGGTGCCAAACAGCACAAATTCCTGAGCTTTGCAAGCAAGCAGCTGCTTGATCCTACGCTCTCTGTACTTTGTTAAGAACAAGAAAAAAGACCCTGTTCTGTGCAGGACAGACATTTTGCTGCCAGGAAAGTGCCACCTACTGGAGCTGGCCCGGCAGGGACGTACAAGAACGGCAAATAAACCCAGAAGTAACGCTGGAAAAATTACTTTTTCCCCACTCTTAAAAAACCCAAATAGATATAAAACTCCACGCTTACAGTGCTCCCAGCAACAGCCCCCTCTGATCACAGCCCTCCATGACTCAATCCCCCGTGAAGGACCAGGGCTGGGGGGTGGGGGGATATGTGGTTTTAGGGTTCAAAAGGAGAGACTCACCGATGCTGAGCAGCACCTCGTATCCCCAGTGGTCCCCTTGGCTCCTCTCGCTCCTGTCCCAGATAGCCGTGCCCTCCTAGTGCAATCCTGTTGCCATTCTCCGGCAGCCCAGCTCCTCTGCTTCACTGGTGCCCCAGGGATGGAGGAGAGAGACCACCTGGAGCCCCGACCTGGGGTCCCGCTGCTTCCACCTCTGCACTGCCCTTTCGTCCCCGTGCCACTCGCCCCGGTTGTCTGTGAGCAGGTGACAGAGGTTTCTTGGCAGAAGAGAGAGGAGGGGAGGGATGTGGAGGCAGCGAGAGGTGGAGCTGGGACCCGGAGCAACAGGTTACTGAATAACTAGGAGCCGGTGGCCCCAGGGAGCTGTGCAGTGGGCCTTCGCTGAGTGAAAACCGAGGGGGGGGAACGTGTTAAACATCAGGTTTTTCTCGCCTGAGAACATTTCGTACCCCATGGGGAGGTAGAGGAAGGCGGGGGTGATGAAGGAGAGCGTTGAGCTGGGTTTTCCATCCCGGTGAGGGAGGGGACGCTGTGCCCGGTGGGGCGAACAAGGCAGCTTTTGTGCAGCAGCGCTGCCGCGGGTTGCTTTCCGCCAGCTTCGCTCCTGCCTGCTCTCACCGCCCTGGTGTCTGCTGAAAGATCTGGGACAGATGCCCCGACGTGGACAGAGGGCAATGCGTCCTCCCCAAGGGCTCCAGAGCAGAGCAGGGTGAGGAGAGGAGCCCTGCTGGGGTACCCTGCTGGGGAGGGGGCTGTGATCTCTAAACTTCCCTTTGGGAGAAGGAAGGCGAAGCAATTGCTGTAGCTCAGGAGGGGAATGAAGGGTTTGCTGGCATCAGGCAAGGTTTGGAGGCACCGTGGTGTCAGCTGAGCTCCACACTGTGCCCATCCATCCCTTGGGTTGCCACCGCACTGCAAGGATGTCAGAACTGTGCTTTAGTGTCTAATGGTGCGGTTTGGAGCTCAGAGGCTTCCTGTGGGCAGACTGCTGCTTGCAAAGGGCGCCTCGTTTCATCTGACTTAGTTTTTAAGCATTTATGAAATGGATGGGATTAGCTCATCGAGCTGATGGCCATACTGGAAAATGTCACAGCATCGAGGAGGGGAAGGGCTGCCAGTTCCTGCAGCAGTGCAAAGCAAAAGGCCTGGTACGCTGCTACAGCTGTGGGACTGCTGGATTGGGCTCGCTCTCCCAGGGTGCAAACAGCTCGTTGGAGGGATTTACTTGCAGAAGCTGTTTCACGCTAAGGCACCTCATTATGTGGCAGTTTCGGCTCCACGGTCATTACAAAGATAGGCAAAGTGCTGTGCCCTGTAGGAGATCTCTAACTGCTGAGCAGAGGAGGGAACTTTTCTTCTGGGAAGAAAACCACAAATGAGCTTCTTACATCTTCCCTGCAACACCTGGTGCTGGTCAGAGCAATCACCAGATGGGGAATTACCCTGCTGCACTGCTGCCTGCATTCTGGACTCCTTTGCTCAGATCCCACAGAGCTTTGGACCGATACAGCCCTATCACTCACAGCATCTGAGTGTGACATCCCAGGAGGCCAACGTGCTCCTTGGGATCAGCCTTTTAAATCAGGTTGGCGGCAGACATCCCTATGATGGCTTGAGAACAAAGACTTCTTCCTCGCAAACAACACTCATACTGAGCTCCTCAAAACGTGGCTTCCTCGCAATTTTTTACGCTGTTTCCATCCAACTTGCTCATCCTGTTTCAGAAGGGCTGGGCCTTGTAATTAAAACTCCACCAATCTTACGTCTGGCAAATGTCATCAATGACTTTGTTATGACTTTTCTCCCTCTACTGCTGCGATTTTATATTTTGCCTGCATTGAGCACCATGGCACACACAGAAAGCAAAGCACAGAGGCTGCAACTTGAAGTTGACACGTGACTCTATCACCTCCATTCAGGTAAAAAAAATATTCCATTCAGCACTTGCCTTTAAAACCTGTCAGTCTTTCTGTGTCCAGCTCTCTGCACAGGGCAGGTGTAAACAGATACCAGGAAAAATTTGTTCTCTTATTTGTATGCATCAGAAAGGGCTTCTGCTTGGAATGCGTTCATCATTAGCAGGGTAGATCCAGGTAGGTATGTTTGTCAGTCTTTGTAACAAATATGTGATGAGTGCATTCCATTATGCCAAGCAAATTCAGAAGAATGAATGGGTGGATATTTGATTTGTGCACAAGCCCAGAAACATTTGGCCATTCAATTTCCTGGCTGCTTAGCACCCAGTTCTGCTGCTTTGCTGCTTTCCTGGGTGCAGCCTTGCTACTGCTGATCAGCAGAGGGTTGTTTGTGCCATTGGCTTGAATATGATGAGGATCTGGCCTGAGGAGATCTGTGACACTGTGTGTGTTTTGGTTTTGACTGCTGGACAGCATGACGAAGCCAGAAGCTGGCATTACCTGGCTTGCAAGCTCTCCCCCAGCTATGTTGAAGGATGAAACTGGGTGCTTCTACAGGAACTCTGGCGTATTTTGTTCCCTTCTTCCATCACTGCAAAGGAAAAACCAATGTAGCTAAGGTGGTACTGGGCCTATACCACCGTTTTTTCCTGCTCCTGGCTAGTGTCAATTAGCACAAACCTCAAACACTCTTCCTCAGTGCAGAAAGAGCTACAAAGAGCAGCAGGAACAGAAGGTTTTTGCACACATCCAGTCTCGCCCTTTTGTGTAGGTAGCCGTGCCCTAGGATTTGAACAAAACACTGTACTTCAAACACTCTTAGATCTAATACATTCTTTATTTGAATAAATAAATATAAGAAATTCTGAATATAAAACCTGCCTGTACAAAAAAAAAAAACCAACACCAAACAAAAACCAAAAACCACAAGCTCCCATGCTTTACATTATTATATATTTTTGATAGAGTAAAAAAAACCCAGGAAATTACACAGTTGATTTAATAAAAGGGATTGGAATGTAGTCATTTTTGCAGAATTGTGGCACTTAAGACATTAAAGACTAAATATAAATGCGTCTGACAGCCTCTTTTGGACTTTAAAACAGGACAGAAGGGTGAATGTTCATGCTGATCTTTGGGCTGCTGTGTTTAAACAACCAGACCCTCACACCACTGTCTTTGGTCTCCATGTCAGTAAGAGGCAGCTGCCCAAACCTTGTGGCTCAGCTCTCCGAGGCGCAAAATTCAGTTCAACCCAATCCCACTGGGACCAATCAGGTACTGCCCTACTAAATGCAGGGAAATTACCACTGGGGGCTGAAAAGAAATGAGAGCAGATGTGTGATAAAGCAGAACTGTGCCTTGAAACACATACGTGTATGCAGGAAACGAGTCCATACGACGCTGGCCTCATTCAGTTCCTTGTCACTTTGCTTGTGTGGTGTTGCTCTACGCCATGAAAACTCAGGCAATCTCAATGGCATGCAGCATTGGCTGCTATTCTGTATTGGGAATTAATATTTAATATCGATCCCTGAGGAACGCTAACTGATGAGCTGTGTAACACAGCTGGTAGAAAGGCTATCTTACCTCCTGCTCGGGGGGATCTCTGCCAGAATAGGTCATTTAAACAGGAGGAAGCATTACAAAATTTTGATATGCAGAATAATTAAATCCTTGAAATATAAAAACTCTCTTTAAAAGAAGAAACGTGTTGAAAACGTGCTGTGTCACAGTTAGGACTTAGCCAACAAAAGCAGCAATGGACAACACCTGGAGTACTGACTCGAGCCCGTATATAAAGAGAAGAACAGTGTTTATAATGACATCTGCTTTGAGCACGTAAGTTTGCCATGTCAGGAAATACACAGATAGAATCATGCTTCCGACCGTTATCACAAGGCTGAGCCCTAATGGAGCCTCTTCTTCTGTCAGGTTACCCTTTGAACCTTGGAGGGAAACAAAAAGCTGATATGAATCTTTGATTTATTGAGACAACACTCAAAAAAGGCTCTATTTGTAACAGTTCAGGGTACGTAGAAATACTGCCCTGAATCAAGGCACAGTCAGTAAATTTAAGAATAAACCCAAAGATCAATGGACAACCCATTTCTTGCTGACTGAAGTTAATCTGAATGCAGAGAAACCAGCTGACATTCCAAGTCAAAAAACCTGCCTTTTCTTACTACAGACAAGCAGTCCTGAAGGCGCAACCATTCTGATTGCTCAGTCTGACCTTGGCTAAGCATGAGACTTCCCCCCAACAACCCTCAGCCCCACATCCAATGTGGCAATGTGACAGCATTTAAGGACATCCAATGCTGATTTTAAAATCTTACACAATTGAGTCTTCTATATACTCTAGTAATCTATTCCTACTTCAAGTTCCTAATGTTGCGAAGAAGCTGCACTTATTCTTTCCTTACATCTTATTTCTGAGCTTGCCTTGGTAGATTTTGCTGTTTAATTACATGAGACTTCAAACCTGCTTTTTACTCATCCATCAGGCTCCAAGCAAATAAATGCAGAAAGCTTTAAGGCAGCAGGCTATGCATTCAGCCCTACAGCAACGCAGCTGTGTTCAACAGACCCGCCTTGTGTAAATATCTGAGGAATATTTAGCACAAATTTTAATAGTAATTTTAAACCTTGCTTAAAAGAAAGGACTTCAGCTAGCATTGGATAGAGATTAGTAGGATTCCAAGCAAACCCTCTTCATTGTTCTGGCATACTGAAATGAAGACGATAGAAGTGACATGTGTCTTTAGAAGAAGCGAAGGGCAAAGCTGCAGTCACGGTGGCAGCCAGGGGCTTCTTAGGGCCATCCTTAGTACTACCTGTTCCACAAGGCTCCAGCCATCTGGTTACCATTGTACATTTCTGGAGCAGCTGAAAGGAGCTGTATCGCTTCACTGTACAAAAATCTCTGTGTTTCAGCATGTTCATTCTCATGAGCAGCACTGATGGTAAACAGCATAGCAGCATTCCAGCTGTCCCACTTACACTGCTGCCTGACAGCCCTGCTATTGTCTTCATATGGCATTACAGATCATACATCATATGACAGCAAATTCTATACAACCCTCTAGGCAAATATGTCGACCAGATAAAGTTTAGTAACATAAATGAATGAGCCTCCAAAAATCTGCTTGCCTGCTAAACTGACACGTTCTCACACCCAACTCTATTTCAGAACGATGAATGCTTAAAGATTCTATTCCCCCTGAAAAGGCACAGTGATAGCATGACATACCCAAGTACAGCCGCAGCACTTCCAGAACGGCCATGATGCAGATCAATGCAAGATCAGGAGCCAAAAAATCATCTGGATAACTGAAAACTTGACCTGTAGAATAGCACAGCATAAATAAGCCAGAAGAACACAGTAAGGATACCAGCAAGACACAAATGCCTCATAACCAAGCAGCTTACTTTTGGTTGCAACTTACTTTTATAAATAATCATCGCAAGTGTCACCACGAAGTAAAAGATGTAATAAAACCCATTTATATAAAATAAAATCTGTAAAGGAACAGATGAGAGCTGGTAACTGTTGTTAAGGAGTTAGGTGGGCTCCATCTCATAAAATAACCAGTTTCTAGTAACCTCAGAATATTCTCTGTGCCTCCTTATACTAAATGATTCAACTATGCCTGGCCTATGGGGTAGGTTTCAAAAAGTAACTGGAGACTGCAAACACCAGGAGCTAGGACAACAGCTTGCTGTTGCACGTTTGGTTTTTCTTTTCAGGTTTATTTTAGTTTGGTTGTAGAGGGATATTCATTAGCCTAAGGAAATGAGGGGAGAGTGTGCATGCGTGCATTTCCCCTGACAGTTTCTGTACCTGTTGGCTGGCAGAGGGCTGGCATGCTCCGATATTCCTCCACGTTTTTGAAAATACGTGGCTCTGTGAAGCAGACAAGCCCTATTATTGCCTGCATGATGGAAAGTCTGAGAGCTGAGCTCAGCCTTTGTAATGTGTCTGAGAAAGGCCACAAGCTCAACTTTGAGATGTAAATTTGTAACATAGATTTTCTTAATTCACTGCTCACAAAACAAAGCGTTGTATGAGGTGATATTTAGCTCCAGTTATTTCTGTCAACCTGGCTCTGCTGAAGGTATTTGAAATATCCACAATCCTTAACACATCCTCAAAATGCCTCTGAAGGGCAGGGAACATGGCAAACACCAATGTACAAATATGAAGAACTTACAGGCTCAGAATATTCTCACCTGCAGCCATCCTAAGATGAAAAACAAGGTAAAATTATGCCTCTGCTCTGAATTCATTACCGGGGCTCCCCCTGGAGTCAGCCCAGAAGAATACCTTCATAACCAAGCAGTTAAACTAAATTACCAGCCCATCTCTCTCTTTGGTCACGAAAGCCATTTAAATGCTTAAGTTTATATGAGATACCCAACAGACGCCTTCAGGACACCACCCTCCCAACGGGCAAGTACAATTCCTACATAGCAGGTACACACACACTGAGGGCATCGCTCCTGAGGCACAGCAGCACGTTATGAATGTAATACAGAAAGCATGAAGGGCATCCTGGGGTTCGCTGCTATATGGGAAAGCTGCAGCGTGGCTCAAAGAATCCAGAAAGTTTTGGCCATTCCTATGTGCTTTTTAAAACAAAATTATACCAGTTGTTTTTCTTAGTCTTCAATAAGACAAGGCAATTTATACAAGGAACTTATCAGTACAGAGTTCATTTCTTTGAGCTGCCTCAAGGCATTCTTTATCCTCACCTCTCTCCTCAGTCCTTCTCAGATACTGTCTCTCTAAGCAGGCACTCTTCATCCCAGGCACCTTTTACAGGAACAACCCATCCGGTTTTTGAAGAGAGCACCCACCCACGCCCAGTGAACACCTTCCAGTTCCCAGAGAATCTCTATTCAAACAGAACCAGGTTTTTGTGTTTTTCCAGTTGAAGGGAGGTGGAACAAAAAAATTACTGAACGGGTTCTAAGTATGGAAATCTCTGAAGACAAGGGTGTCTCCTTTAGGAGGCTACTCAGATCATGGGAAAAGATAGAGTGAGAAGAGGAAGCTGCTTTACTGCCTCTTGTTGGCTGTGCAGAAACAGCTGCCTGCAGTGTGCTGAGTGAACCTTGTGTCTGCACGTCCACAAAGTCAATCTGCAGCCTTGCTTCCAAAGGAAATGAGTTAGACGACCAGAAAGTGCTGGCCAGCCCTCTGTCAGGCCTGCAGGCTGGGTAAGAGCTTGTGCTTCATGTGGGTGGTGGTGACAGAAGCCTCACAGGGTAACAAACACTAAAAAAAAGGATACAACTGATGAAGTTCTTCCTTTCCGTTGAAAAGAAAAAAGAGAGCATAAGATGAGCCCAAATATTTACCAAAAGCACTGCAGCAACATTCTGCCCAGAATTTCCTTACCATACGACAGCAATAGCCCACGAAAACACCTACTAAGTAGCCCTTAACAGCCGCAGCCCCTTCCAGAGGCACGGAGAGCCGTAGGCCCTACGTGGCTGTACCATCGCACTGCCACCAGCGTCCCAAGGCCCATTTCCCCTCACAGTCGGGCCCGGCGAATCCCCCGTTAGCTCTGGTTAAGGTGTTTAGGAACGCAGTGCAAACAGGCACGCCATGTTACAGTGTGAAATGCTGCTGGTTCCGCGTAGGCGCAACGCTGCACGGCGCTCACCTCTCCGCACGCCCGCCATGCCGGCCCCCTCCCCCGCCACCCACCAGTCCTCCAGCATCCCGGCAGCCCCCGCGCCGTTCGTGCCGCCCCGCCTCTCTCCCTTCGGCTGCGATCGGAGCGCTCGGCCCGGTTCGGTCGCTTTCGGGCGGCTTCGGGCAGTGCCCGTTCGGGAGCCGCCGTTCGGGACGGCGAAAGGGAATTCGGGCGCGCTCGGAAAAGATTCGGCACATCTCGGCTTTCCTCGCGACCGCCTCACCCGCCTTCGGGCGGGATCGGAAAAGACTCGAGCGGACTCGGAATTCTTCGACTCCGCGGGCCGGACCGCTCGGGGACTCGGCCGTGTTCGGGCGGGCTCGGGAGCTGTCAGGTATCGCTTCGGGCCGCGCCGCCGCGGCCTCGGCCGCGTCCTGCGCTGCGATTGGCCGCCGGCAGGAAGCGCGGCCCTGGCGCCTCGGGACGCGCCGAGCCCCTTCGGACGAGGCCTGAAAGGACTCGGGACACTTCGGGCCGCATCGGAAACGCTCGGTTCGACCCGGGGAGCGCAGTCGGAAACGTTCGGCACCGCTCGGCGGGAGCGCCCGAGCGACCTCGGAGCATCGCCCCCCCCCAAACCGGCGGCGCTCGCGGGGGGGAGCGGCAGGGCTCGGGGCTGCTCGGGCGGGCTGAGCCCCGCTCCCTCCCATCCCGTCCTCGCATGGAGGACGCCGACTCGGCGGCCAAGCGGCTGGGCTTAGCGGAGGCGGTGGCGGCCGCGGTGGCAGCGGCGGCGGCAGAACCCGAGCGGCAGCAACCGCAAAGCTCGGAGGGGAAGGCGGAACGGCGGGAGGAGGTGACGGCCGTGACCGTGATGGCGGCGGACGCCGAGCACATCGAGATGGGCACCGAGCCGCTGCCCAGCGCCGACGAGGCCGCCGCGTTCGCAGGTCAGCGCGGGCCGCACTGCGCATGCGCCGCTCACCTCAGCGCAGCCCGCGCTCCGCGGTGCCCGGGGCCGCCTCAGTACGGGCAGCGCCGCCTTCTCGCTTCTTTCACCGCGCTGAGAGACCAGCAGCGGCCCGCCCGAAGTCACTGTGGCCCTGTGTGCAAAATTCCCGTTCAAAAGTCATATCAAAACGCAGCCACGCGTTGGTCGCTGGGTCAGGTGTAAGGCGGAGCCTAAAAATGCTCAGTTTGTTCTGCTCTTCTGCCCGTTCCCTGCTTTAATAAAAAGAGAATGGTTCTAGAATAAATAAACATTTTCCCTCTTAGTTCATCACAGGTTAAGCTTTGCTCAACCCAAAGCCTGACAGAGAATAGTAATTAATATTTGCACTGACTGACACTCAATGGGAAAAAGAGGGAATGTACTTCTATGGGGTTCACATACTGGGTCTGCTTTGCTTCATTTCTATTTTGCATTCCAGAAGTCACCACAGTAACAGTGGCCAACGTTGGTGCCTCTGCAGACAACGTGTTCACCACATCCGTGGCAAATGCAGCATCCATTTCGGGACACGTGCTGGTAAGTCAGCCCTTCGTCCAGGAGCCTTGGAGCACCATGACTTCATTGGCGTGCACACGAGGTCAGAACGTGTGTATGCTGCAAGGCTTTGAGCCACAGAGCCATCAGATGAGGCACCTGCAGTGCTTTCCCTTTGTCTTTTCTGTGCCATTCTACCCATGTACGTGCACTCCGTCATGGAGCTGATGACCTGGGATGTGTAACCTTTCGACGTGGTTGGCTGAAAGCTCAAAAATATACTTGCTAACTAATGGTGTCTTAGGGTACCTTTCAGAGATCTGCAGGAGTACTCATTTATTTATTTTTTCCTTTATTTCTTCTGTAGTCTGGGAGAACGGCCCTCCAAATTGGGGACAGCTTGAATACTGAGAAAGCCACTCTCATAGTTGTTCACACAGACGGCAGCATTGTGGAAACCACGGGGCTGAAGGGGCCGTCAGCACCCCTCACACCAGGTATAAGGCAATCTGAGAGTCCTTCTCCAGCTTCCTCTTTGCTTTATTTGTGTGACTGAAAAACAAGAGAAGCATCACACACACGACGTGAAATTGCATTGTACAGTCTGTCCCCTCTTAACATACTGCTTTTTCATTTGTTGCATGCCTTCCTAACCCACCCCCAAAAGCAAATCGATTCTAGTATTGATAATAAAAGCCTGGAACTAGGAGATTAATACCTGGGTTCTTTATAAAGAGCCCTTTGGTTGAGATGGTTTTGTCTTCATTCAGGCCTTTTGCTGATTAATTTAAAATCTAATTAAAATTTAATTGTGACTGTAGCTGGTGACCTTCATCATCAAGGTTGTTCCCAGCTGCCTGGCAGTCCCCGTTTTGCCCACGAGATGGCATGACAAGCCTTTTGCAGGCAATTACGCATTGCCCGTTGTCCTCTAGGAAGTGATCCAGCTAGCTGCAAGTTACAGCCTGAGTGTTTAACGTGCGTTAAAAGCCTGTTTTCTATTGCTCTATTTCCAGCCATTTTCAGAGTGTTACTTTATGTTATACTTCTTGAGGCTGGCAGGGCAGACCCATGGCTCTAGCTTACATCAAGCATCTGTTCCAAGCAATTTTCTTGTGGCATGCTGACCACGGGATGCATTTGGCCCAGCCAAACTACGTGTGAAGATGTTGTCACTGTGCCTTTTGGTTGCTGTCATCTTCCTTTTTTTTTTTTTTTTTCCTTTTCCCCAAAGGACCGCAATCTCCTCCTACCCCTTTAGCAACTGTCCAAGAAAAAACTGGAACCAAATATAACTGGGACCCGTCTGTGTATGACAACGAGCTCCCAGTGAGGTGCCGGAACATCAGTGGGATTCTGTACAAAAACAGACTCGGCTCAGGTAAAAACAGCCTTTTGTGTGAGGAAGATGGCTCCTTCTTCACTTACTGCACTTTCTTTTTAATCAGATTGCCTTTAAAGGCCAATCATGAAGAAAATAAGTATGTTTTCCTAGTTAGCATAGTCCCATGGATATTACTGTTCTCTTCCCTTTTGCTTCCTTGTTCTTTATTCAGAGGCTTTTAATTTGTGAAGATACAGCCTGCTGTACAGTGAGTCTTCCCAATAGTAGGCTGACTCTTCCAATGTTCTTTTTGTGGACCTCTGAGAAGTACACCCTTGTCTCTACAAAGCTCTGCAGAATCCCTGCTGGATTGGAAAGTAGAGAGCTTGTCTTCTAATGAGCCTCCTTAGCTGTCTTAGCCTCTCTCTTCATTTTTATCTCTGAGGGAAAGCTGAAGAAGCCGTTGCAGAAACTGTCAGCAAGCCTGACTGCATAGCACAGCGTTTGCTTTGTGGAAAGAGTTTACTTCGTGACCAGATGGATTAGAAATTTTTGCAAAAATTATGGAAAGGTTTAAATTTGTGGTAGGATAAGAAAGACTTATCCTACATGTGAATGAGTAATATTTTCTAGCCTACAGAATAGCCTACGTAGCCTATTCTGATTCACAGAATTGGAATTCACTTCACGCACAGTCATTGTCACAGCCAGGCTAAGAAACAGGCATGCTTATCCTTCAGCAATGGGAAGCAGCAGATGAGCAGGTTGGGTAGTTGCTGTACATTACTTGCTCAGTAATTTCATAGAGTCACAGAATACCCTGAGTTAGAAGGGACTCACAAGGATCATCAAGTCCAACTTGCCATTCACCAGAGCCTGCAGAGCTCTGGGGCTGCTCTCCCTCCTTTGCTCCCCACTCTGTACACAGAGCAGAGGACTGCCTTGTTCTAGGAGCAGAATCTGGCACATATGCGTGTTAAACTTCATGCAGCTCGTCATTGCCCAGCCCCTCTCAATATTCCTTAGAAAAATTGAAAAGTAATCCTTAGCCTTTACTAATGCTTTTATTTTTTTCTTCTTAATACAGGAGGCCGTGGTAGGTGCATTAAGCAAGGGGACAACTGGTACAGCCCCACTGAATTTGAAGCTATGGCAGGACGAGCCAGCAGCAAAGACTGGAAGAGGAGCATTCGCTATGCTGGGAGGCCCTTGCAGTGCCTTATTCATGTAAGGTTACGTTTATTTTCTTCTGTCTGCTGGAAGGGGCAGGGCAGAGTGCCCTGCAGTCAGAGCTGTGTTCAGAGTTGTGTGCGGGGTGAAGGAGAAGCAACTTATTGATTTGGTTGAGGGGAACTGGCCTTTCTTTTATTGTATAGGGCCCCCCAGAAGGGAATTAGTGTTTATTTCTCCCTGGGAGCTGCCAGAATCTTTGAGCAGAGCACAGTCTTGCTCTCGCTGCTTTTGGCGCCTGATGTTGAATTTGTAATCTTCCAATTTCAGGATGGGATTTTAAATCCTCACGCTGCCTCTTGTACTTGTGCTGCCTGCTGTGATGACATGACTCTGGTGAGTTGTAGGTTTTATATCCATTAGTTTAAAAACAATTCATCAACCAAGCTGCCACGGCCATCTGTGAGCAGGTCGGGAGTGTCCTAGAAGCACTGACAAGTATTGAGTGTTTCCATATTAGGCTGCTTGCTTTTTTCCAAAATGATGCTAGAGTTATTAAGCAGCAGTGTTTAACTTCACTTCAAGCACTGTTTTGTACTCTTCTGCTGTGAACTGGATGGTTTCCTTGTTGTCTAGAACTGAATCCATATGCTCCCCATCTTCTTTCACTCTTATTTCTTTTCTTCAACCCCTTGGATCAGTAGTGAAGGATTTGCCCAGTTCTTGTCTTCTCATAACAGTGGGAAAAAGCTGAATCTGAGTGCAACTTTTTTAATCATAGAGGCTTTTTGGTTTGCAGGTCCAAGAGAAACTTTTTGGTCTATTGTTACAAATCTACCATGGGAATACTTATTGCTTAATTGTAGCTGCATCTGGAGAGGTTGGAGTGAACAGATATTCCCCTAAGAGGTGCCTCAGCTGATGTCTTTTTCTCCTTTTTTTCCCCTAGAGTGGACCTATTCGACTCTTTGTACCATATAAACGACGAAAAAAAGAAAATGAAATGTCTGCAAATCCAGTCAAGAAGGAATCCTCCAAAAATATCACTTTGCTTCCTGCCACAGCTGCTACTACATGTAGGTTCTTTGCTCCTGGTAAAAATGGCCGAGCTAGATACCTTTTTGTATTACCAGGGGTCAACTGAGAAAAATGTATTATCTCTTGGTGCTTCCTTTTCTATATCCTTTAATATCTGGTGAGGCCATGTGGTAAGATTTGTGCTATTGAAATACATGGAAAAGTAGACGCTGAGCAACTGTAATGAAATCCACAGTCTGGAAGCCGTTAGCGAAAGAGGCAGAAGGTGATGCTTTCATCTGTAGGCTCCTCTCTGGCGTTCAGGACTCGCTTTGTCACTTCATGTTTTTGAAGTCAAACCATCTGTGTGAGAACAGAAATTAATTTGCAGGCTGGTCCAACTCACAGGTTCCCTGTCACATTCTTGTCCTCCTGTTCTCATCATCTGGACAATAACATTACAAAGTGAGCTGAGGAGAAAGCAAATAAAGCAACAGGAATACAAAAAAGAACTGAGCAAGCCAAGTGTAAGATTAGATTACTAGCAACAGCAGGAGGAGAAATGCATAAGGATTCTGCAGAGATTTTGTTGCTTCCATTCCCCAAAACAGTTTTAGTCTGTACTGTTTTGTGAACATGTGCTGCTGGGGACTGCATGCTTGCTTGTGCTAACACTGGGAGGGAGCAGCACTGCTTGTCTTGTTGGCAGCCACATCTTTCCTCAGAAACAAAAATGTAGCTCAGTGTCTTAGAACTGAACTGTGTGTAAAAAGGTTTTTCAGGCTGAGCAGTGCTCCACAGCATCAGCCCCTTAGTGGTGCTGGACTAACCCAGCTTAAAAAGGGTTTTAAACACGTTGGAGCTGCACTGCTACTTTCATCCAGATGTTCTTTGTGACTTGGTCCCTGCACTGGCCGAGCATGGTTATATCACTCTGGGTACATGGACAGTTGAACCTGTCCAGTAAACAAACTGTCATGGAATTAGCTGTAATCCAAGGGGTTTTTGAATTAATTTTCAAGCAGTAGGAGCCATTCTTCTTAAAGTTCTGTAGTATATTAGGGCCAGCGATGTCTTGAGAAGCCGTGCAGGGCTTTTATTCCCATTTCTGATGTTAGTGGCCTTGGGGGGAATTCAAACTTAGCTGTCACATCCCGTTGACTGATCTGTGAGTTCTGTGACTTTGGGAGCAGGGATCTCAGCAGCTAGACAGCCGAGGCCTGAGCAGTGAGTGCTGATTATGAAAGTGCTTCTGCTATTTCCAGTCACCGTGACTCCTTCTGGACAGATCACTACCTCTGGTGCTCTCACCTTTGACCGCACGTCGACGGTGGAAGCCACAGCAATTATCTCAGAAAGTCCAGCCCAGGGGGATGTTTTCACAGGAGCCACTGGTAAGGATTGGGCTGCATGCCTGCTTGACATCCATGAGAAGGTAGGAAAAAAAGAAGCCTCTTGTATGCTGCATGAAGGATTTTAATTTTAAGAGCTTACACAGATGCTGTACATAACCTGCTGTCACAAGAGAAGTTTGAATGTCTCGTCCAGATGCTGCAGCTGCTTATGTACACCTCTGTTGATTTCTTCGGTTTTATGGTTATCTCTGTGTTTTTTTGGCTTTTTTTTTTGCTACTTGTTCATCCTGAAATACTGCCCAAAAAAGTGTTTAAACCGAGTGGAAAACACTGAATATATGCTAGAAAATAGCAGAATAAATCCAAGAAAATAGAAATGCTTACCATAAATTTCAGCTCTTTCAGTCTAATTCCTGTATGTGGCTGTGGGTTCTGCAGGAGCAGCTGAGAGAGCTAGCATCCTCTGAGAATAGTAGCTTGAAGTCCTTCTATCAGTGTAAAATAAAGTGTGTGAGGAGGAGACTGGCAATAATCTTTGCAGAAGCCTTGAAATCAGTGCACAGTTGCTTTGCTTGGTGTCCACGTGAAATCCTGCTGCTGGTTCTCATTTGCAACCTCTGGAATTACCACAGAGAATAGGAACCTGAAGAAAACGTGAAAACAAAAAGCCAATCCAAATTGGCGAAAGAAGTTTCAGACATGCGTGAAAGCTGTGCCATGCAGTGATCTGTAATGCTGCTGTTCTCCTGCAGTTCAGGATACCAACGTCCAGCAGCCGTGCCGGGTCACCCACCCAGAGCCTCACTACCCGACTTACCAGGACAACTGTCAGATTTCACCTTTCCCTGAAGCTGCGCTGCCGACGTCTCATCCCAAAATCGGTATGCTCTGTGTCCCTAGTGTTAGTCACAATTAGCAGTGCCTGGATTTAGGTGGTAACCTTCTTTTCCAGCAAGAGGTAGAGATTGAGCCAGGAATAAACTTTAATTTTTTCCTTATGAGTTTCACAGTTAAGATTTGGATGAAGAGATTTTTCTTCCCCCGTGCTTTAGGCGCTCTGTTATTGACATTCTGATTTGTTGGTTCTTACTTGTGATCTTGTTTCCTAAATGTTGTTTCCTGCTCAGAAGCTGCCTTTCAGAAGGCTTTTGCTTCGAAGATTTTGTCACTGCTTGGGTGCTGTGGGTGGGTATGTATTTAATCTTTGATCCAAGAAAGCCATCTCCTCACTTAGATTTAAAGCCAGACTGTAGGAGCCTTTCTGAAAATTTCCACATATATTTTTGAATCCACTAGCTTAAGGTGGAAGCAGTTTGGAGCAGGTTTGCTGTGCTACTCTTGTGTCCCATGTCAGTTTTACTGCTGACACCTGTGCTGGAATGATAGAAACTGGTTAACGAAGGTGATGGGAGTCTGCCCTGCTGCAGGCAGGTTGCTGTAAAAAAGAAAAGATGATACAAGAAGCAACGTGCCTTTCAGTAGGACAGGATACGTTGATGTTCAGGTCGATATCTCTTCAGATGTAATTAAATCACGTGAACTTAATGATCTTTCATTTTCTTACTTATACAGAGCAGCAGAATGCATTCCTGCTCTGTCCAGAATGCAATCTTGTTGGTTTTAAGCCTCACTCAGCTCTTGATGCTATTAATTAAACATTGATTATTTTTCATCCATGAAACAAAGATCATTACTTTTTCTTGGCTGATACAGCTCTGCTAAAATGCATAGTCAGAAGTAATTCCTGTTAGATAAGTTATCAAATACTGTGCTGTGATAAATACTCTTCTGAAAATGCAGCAGAGGAAAACATTCTTCTGCAAACAGTTACTGATAAAAGACCGATTTCTCTTGACTCATACAGAAGTGCAAATAGTTCTACGCCAATTCATGGGAATGGAGCAAAATTACTGTTTTAATTAAGGGCCGTTGAGTGTAGAATATCAGCTCACCTGTATGATGAATCTTCAGTGCTGTCTGAAAACTTTGCACATCCCGCACACAGTGACAGTACAGTGCTTTTGGACTTATTCCCTTATCTCCTGTGGATTCTTTCAATTTGCATGAGTATTTATTGCTAAGAGTTTCATTTTGGAAAATCAAACCCAGTAAAGCCAGATGAAATTTGTTCCTGGATTTGTTAACTGATGTGAGCTGGAACTGCATCCTGTTGGAATCCTAGATCCAGGTTTTCTGGTGCAGCCTTTGGAAAATGGAGGACTGCAGAGCCACAGTAAGAGAGGGGCTCAGGGCTAAGCAAGGAAAGTGTGATTAGGTACCAGGAGAGGAGGTCACATTTTTTCTGGTGGCTTCCTGCTTGATAACACTCAGTCTGTAGTTACTGGCAGGGCCACGGTCGGGGTGTGAAAAAACAAAGGCTGCAGCACCTCACTAGTTTGGGGGTCTTTTAATGTGCCTTTCTGTATGCTTAGGAGAACTACTGCTGGGTTTCTTTAACATTCATCTTTGTATCTGTGTCATTCTAGATGATACAAGAGAAAACAAGTGAAGGAGTCCAAAGAGATTACAGCAGTGGAGGATTTCTTTTTAGGAGCATCCAAACTGGTGGTTTTGGAGACTGCACGTTTGTGTCATACATGTAATCTGGAGTAATGATAACTGTCTTGGTTTTATCCCAGTTGTCAGCCACAGTTATTGTAAGATCAGAGTTCAGGAAGTGTTAGGTGTGAACCTTGCAACAAAACAAAGCAAGAAAATCACTTTATGGAAACGCAGTGGAAACCCATGGAAACCCTAATTGTTTGTATTTTATGTTCCTTTTTTTGTGCTCAGTGTTGACCCCAATCCCTGCCCTGTCGGTGCCCCCCCAGACCCCCACCAAAGCCATATCCCCAGCTGTGGTGAACGGGCTGGAAGTGACGGAGCAGCGGAGCTGGCTCTACTTGGAAGAGATGGTCAACTCGCTGCTCAACACGGCGCAGCAGCTCAAGTCTCTCATCGAGCAGGCCAAGCAAGCCAGCTCCTCCTTCCGCGAGGCCGCTGTCACACAAGCCAAGATTCAAGCTGATGTGGAGAGAAAAGAGGTAATTACGCCACAGGAGGTGAGATGGGGCATCTTTTCGGCAGAGTGCTGGAGGTCTTTTCCAATTGTAATGATTCTGTGATTTTATGGGTTGTACCTCACTTTTTTCCACTGGGTAACCTCTGGTAACCCTTATAAATTGTTTCTTAATGTCTTGAGAGCAGAGAAAAAGGTAAGTTATTCCCAAAGTAGAAAAAGGAGTAGAGTACCTGGGATTCCAGCAGCTGTGGGTAGCAGTAATATCAGTTGTTTGTTGTTACAAGTCCTGAGCTCTGCTATCAGACACTCATACACTTAGGAGGCATGGTTTGCCATGTGTCCTGGTATCGGGAAGATCGTGAGTGTTCAGCCCTGCAGTGGCTGCTTTCATTCTCTCAAGTGAACAGGGCTATCAGATAGGCTTTTGATGGCCTGAAGAGGCAGAGAGGTAATAAGAGCAGCAAGCTGTGGAATTTATTGGGAAGATTACCAGCAAAATTTAGAGCTGTCCCACTGAGCACTGTGCAAGCGAAGCTGATCTCTCTTGTGTCCTGTGATAAGTAAGACTGCAAGGCCAGCTGGCATGATGAAAGTGTTGGCTTTTACCCAGCAGCCCTTTTCTACTCAGTAGGGAATTATCTGCCAGGTCTGCCCTGTTCTCCCCTTCTTTTCTCCTTTTTTTAATGCATAGTAGAGACCCTAGGTTCCTCTTAACACCTAACTCCATGTGCTGCTGAATGCATTCTCATTCTCCCAGATTCCCAGCTGCTGCTGTGATTTTGAGAGAGGCTGGACAGGGGCAATGTACTGTGAGACTCTGCCCTTGTTGACAGCTGAGGAACTTTCCCTTTCTGTGCAGGGCACTATTTGCTGTTACATTATTGCTAATGTCAGCTTTCCACTGCATTCATAGCAGGAGTGTGCAGCAGGAGGCTGTGAAGAAATGTGTGTGGGAAGGTTTTGCTGAGAACCCTATGACATTCCCTGCAGCAGCTTTGATGTTCTTTGCCATGTTGTCACTGCTGAACTCTTCTGTACACTGCATCCCTGATGTGCAAGAGTGTAAGACTGGGAGTCTCATTCTCCCTTGCCTTCAGTCTGGATAGAGTGGTTATTCATGCTGCTGTCCAGATTTGGGCTGCTAAAAGCTTAGTAGATTGTGGGACAGCACAAAAGCTTTGACGTTTTATAGATAGACATCTTACTTTGTTTAACTTTACCCTCTGCTCTTCCAGTTAACATGCTGTCATCCCCTCTGTTTATCCTTACGGAGCTTTCTCAAAGCAGTGTTTCAGAGTCCATTCTTCTCACCCTCTGATCCAAATCCTGCTCACTTCAGTGTGTATCTTCTTGCCTCATGAACAGGAGTTAGAATCACTCCTCAGTATTGATCTTTAAGTGCTGACTTCACAAGGCAAGGATGACCACGTGCTTATTTCTGGAGGAAGTCCTTTTCCCTGTAACTGTGAATTCCTAATTACTCTCTTCATGAGTCTTACCCCTCTTATTTTATCATGGGTTCCCCCTTGGTCACAGCGTTATATTTTAAAATGTCCAAATAATAGTTTTCAGGCTCGCTGCTGTGTGCCAGCAGCTGGGCAATCCTGCAGGTAGCTATTCTAATCCATTCCGGTGTGTTCCATGTTTTTTGAAAAATGAGTTTTCTGGGTACACACCTGGCACTGCAAGCAGTTACAGTGAGTGCTGAATAATCTCCTGTCTGCTTTGTGTTGGTCAGAGTTGTTTTTCCAATTCTGTGAAAACTTCTGTGGTTTGTAACATAAGTCTCTTTTCCTTTCTGTCTCTGGTCCAGCCATTTCTTTTGTCTTTTGAGTTGTATGAGGGGCGGAAAGAGGTGTCACCTTACTTTGTGGTGTTGCTGATTTTTCTTGGACCCATTTAACACATAGTTGTGCCAGTGTGTTCCTACAAATTTAGAATTGAAAGGTTGTATGGTTATATCTGAGCTGCAGAGCAAAGGCTTTACAACAGATTAAATTATAATAGAGCTGTAGACTCAGCTCTTCCTGGAAGAGTGACTGCATACAGGGCAGGATTAATGAAATCTGTTAGTGGGAGCAAGCTTGTTCCTAACTGTATGCACAAACTTCTATGCCATGACTGCAAATCATATGTATGTTTGGTTTTCATATCAGTGCAGACAGTCAGCATCCTGTTTCTTGAGGATATTGAGTTGAAGAGCATTTGATCCTGTAACTGTCTGCATCCCTCCCTGCTAAGGAGTGATGCCTTATGGCAGAAGAGCGAGGCAGAGGCTCAGGACAGCACAGCCTTTACCTGCCCTTCAGAGAAAGAGGCCCCAAGTTGTACTCTCTAATGACAGCATTAGGTGCTTGTGGGAGTCACAGAGCTCTGAAAGGTAAGAGGTAAGCTTTTTCCCCTGTAAGAGGTAAGCTTTCCTGGAGCAGAAGAGTGATTCGTGCTGCCTGCAGACTTTGTCGTCACCTGGGAAGTCAAAGAGCAGGCATCACTCTTTCATCCCGCTCCCACTTTCTAATGGTGTTATCAAGGACTTGTCAGTGGGGTGTTAGGAACATTCCCCTTTCCTATGAGATTTTGAAGGTGGAAATGCCAGCATCATAGAGTAGCTGCAGCAGGAAGAGGATTTGCTAAAAATAGCAAATGAGAACCATAACAAATAAGTGCAGCATAATTTAGAAGCATCAACAGTCACCTTTCTTTCTTAAGACGGCTTGTCTAATTAATTTTGCAGATTGATCTCATTTCCAAACGCATGGTCCTACCTAGAGACAGCATCTTCAAAAGCAACAGAGGTGCTGAGCTGGGCAGCATTGCGTATTTAGGGTTGGGCTGCACAGAAGTGGAATATAAAAGCCTGTCTTTGTGTAAGATTAGAAAAAATACCCAAAAATACACTTGTCAGATGTGAAAGAATGGCAGACATGAGATGTTGTAATTTGGAAGTCCCCACATGTGCTCTATTGCTATTTTTTGTCCTTTTTAATTTCTCTGTGTGCCATAACAAAAGATCAGGGTAGGGTGTCTGGGTAAAAGAAGTTATAGAAAGGCTCCAACCAGTCAAGTCCTTGAAATATGTACAGTTTGTAACCCCAAAATATGCAGTTCCAGCATTTGTGAGAGTATCTCCTTTGCGATCATTTCTTTTAAAATAGAACAGTTCCTGGAGCCTAAGGAAGAGGCTGAATAAACCTTTCACGTTGTATGTGCTGTCTGCAGCATCTCATGTGACTCTTGATGATGACAGCTCCTTAATTAACGAGCAGAGCCCTCACAGAGTTGGTTCAGACACGAAATGGGCTCTGTTTGGGAAATGTGGATGCCATAAACCTTATGCTTTCAGTGAGTAAACATGCAGCTGGTGCTCAGCCTGTGTGTGGCTTTGTGCTGGCAGGGACACCAAGAGTGTCCATCAATAACATCAATGTTATTTGGAAGTTTTGAGGAGTGGTGGTTCTAAAAGAAAACCAAGCCATAAGCTCTCCAGCTCAGTTTATCTAAAATGCATCATTACACAAAATTAAAATATCAAAATACTTGTAGGCTTTATAGAATTGCAACATTTTGCATGGGATTCACTAAGTACAGCTGCTGTGTCAGAACTCTGCGCAGCTGTTCAGAGAGAGCTCTGCCCTGTTGTAATTAAATAGCTTGTAGATGAGGATATTGGATCCTTTGGCTTCTGCTGGGATTTTTGCAGTTCTTAATTAAGGGAGAAGAAAACGATTAGGAAGAGGGTGTATAGGGCAAGAAAGGCTTAGGGTCTCTTGGAAAAGATGTTTGACCACTTGTAGGATTGGCCCCAAAGGAGCAGAGTAAAGGTTGTACTTTTCACAAAGATCTTTGGAAATGTAATTTCTTCTTCATTAAGCTGTTGTTTGTATCAAATAAATTTCGGAAGGGGGATCACACATGAACCCACCAAGTTCTGTGCTGTACAACACAGCTGGAGGATGCAGATCTTCAGTATAAAGATAAAATCAGGGTTGAAATCTGACAAGTGTTTTAATTGCAATTGTCTTGTTGTGATGCAGTGATGCCTATGCAGCCCTGTCCATTTGAAAACAAGGTGGAAGATTAAATCTGTTAACAGCTGGGCCATCAGAATTATTTTTTTAGACAGATTAGAACAGTTTGGGGCTGGAGAGCATGAAATTAATCTAAAAAGGATCGGGCACTTACGAAAAGTAGTTCTGGTAAGCAAGTAATGACATATCCTCCAAAGCAGCTGTGGAAATGGTTGAGAGCTGGGGCTCATCAGTTTGCTGGAGATGGTTTTGCAAGAAATCTCTGTGTGTCTGGCTTGACTGTCTCTGTTCCCACTCCTTCCCCTTCTCCACAATTTCTCAACAAAGTGAGTGACTTGCACCATGGGCCAGGCAGAACCAGAGGGCTCAAAGATAAAAAGGAGGTAGAAGGGAGTTATGTTTCCATCAGCAAGATTCAGGGACCCAGAGCAGAGCTGAAGGGGGTGCCGTGGGTCTGACAAACATGGGGTGGCTGGACTTCTGCTCGGCTTCTCTTTGGCAATCCCACTGGAAAACAGGATAAGCCACATTTATGAAGGATGCAGTGGACTCTGGAGCTGTGGCAGCTCTCAGAACTGGAGTTCTGCATCTTCCACCCAATGACTATCTCTGTGCCGGTGTCACAGAGGGGCTGTAGTTGCAGGGTATATTTATGAAGAGATTTTCAAGAAATGCCATCTCACAATGCTTTGGCACATGTGCATACACTCTTCTCACCAAAAAGAAGTTTAAAAGCACTGTAAAGTGCATGTGCTGTCTTGGTAATAAGCTTGATCTTGCCTATTTGTCTAATCGTGGTAGAACCAGATCATAGCTCCTGCACCAAACAGCAAGAGGTTTCCCCATCTCCTCCTCCATCTCCCTGAAGAGCATTTTTATCTCAACTTTGTGTCATGGTAAAAAAGGTTCTCAACGTTGCAATTTCACATGAGACTAAATACTGAGATGTCAGGTCATGGAGGCACTTCAGTTAAGCCTTTCATCTCCTTACGTGTTAGGTCATATCACTCCTTGACAAACCTGCTTTGCTTGAGGGTGAGGGTTTGTTTTTTTCCTTACTTTCTAACTGTTCCTCACAGAGTTTAGATCAGGTTTTGCATGTAACCAAATCGGGGCTAGTTTTGCATCCCTTTGTTTGAGCACTTTGCCTCTCAGCAGCACTGGCTGTTGAGCATGGCAGGACAAGGTGCAGGAGCACCAAGCTGGACTTGATTTTCAGCACATCCAGAGTGACTTTAAAATTCACCTTTAGAGGGCTGTTTAATGAATAAAGTGTCTGAAAGCCCTATCATGTTTTTTTAAAAGGAAGAATAGTCGTTATGTTTGATGTTGTTTTTGGAGTCTTGAGTGTGTTAATTTTGTCTTGATTTTTTTCTCCTAACCCAATCTCATATCCTCTGGGCTGTTCCACCCCACAGGATTCTCCCATGTCTGCTGGCGGATCAGGATCACAAGGCTCAACTCATAACTTTCCCCAGGAAGATGGCACGTGGCCCTATTTCCTTGGGTTTCTTTTGCTAACTTGTCACTGTCTCTTGTGGGACGCAGTTCTTTGTACACAGTGAGGCCACATGTCTTAAGATTGGATGGAGTAAGGTTTGAATAAATGTACTTAATTGACAGTTTGTCAGCTTGTTATGCCTGGCTTCTTCACCTGACTGCACTATGACACACAGTCCCTCTCCTGTAAGGGAGGAGTGAGGTTCCCTTTGGTCCTCACAGAACTGCCTCCGTACAGACCTCACTTTTCAAGCCCTTGTTGCATACGCTGGCTGTGAAATGACACGCTTGCTGTGCTTTTTCCTTGCAGCAATATCAGAACCAGTTATTTCAACAAACAGAAGATGTGGATGGGAAAACAGAAATCATCATCAAGGTAAGCTCTGGTTGAGTCGTTTTTTAGGAGGAGTCCTTAGTCTTGTTGCATTTAAAGGTCCAGAAATCATATATTCTGTGGCTGGCCTCATCTTCTGAGCCTTCCCTGGCAGGACACATGCTCTGCTCTGGCAAAGTGTGTTCTATTTCCATGTTTTCACAGCCCCTTATGGTCCTCTGGAAAGGTTAGTCAGTCTGAGGCAGCTCCAAGTAATGGCAGTGCAGCACCAACTGGTTTTTCCTTTTTGCCCTGTAAGCTGGGTTTCAAGCCCTGTTTTGGTAGCCTCCGTTTATGGCTGTACATCAGGAACACGACTGTGGTTCAGTCACACCATCTGCTAATTGTAGGTACTGGGATGTGCTGTGAGCCAGTGGTGTGATGAGCTCGGTGCTGATCGGGGCGCCGATGACTGGGATGGTAGTGCTCAGGAGAAAAGTGAGTCTGCAGCACTGAGTTGTGCTTGTGTTGGGCCCTGCACTGATGGTGCTTCTCAAGCTGAGGAAAGTTTCCTGTGCCAGACTAGCTCTGATGTGCTAATAATGTGTCAGTAACTTAATGAGCTGGGAACGGAATGTTCTGCAGCGTACTTACTTTTGTGATAAAAAAATAATCAGATTTTCATTCTTCTGAAATTTCAGCTTTCCTGCTGTGCCAATCAAGGGATGGCCAATCAAAAAAATGGAGATCAGCAAATCTCCACCTAACGATACAGGCTATGTTAATTGATGTCACCAGCCTAAGACTAAATTGCTAGACACAGAAGCATCCTTTAAAAACCAGATGTGATTTTCAATCTCTGTATGCTACCTCAACCTCTGGGTTTAAGTCTTGTGCTCCTCTTACAATCTTACGTTTACTTTTCTGCCTTCTGCTTCACTGCAGTCACCCCTCCGTTGTTGTTCCCTCTGATGTGGTCCCTTTGCTTCTTGTTTTCACAGCAGTCGTGTGTCAACTGTGGCCGCGAGGCAATGAATGAGTGCACGGGATGCCATAAAGTCAACTACTGCTCCACTTTCTGTCAGCGGAAGGTACAAGAGTGTCTTTGAGTTGCAGGTGGAGCCGTGCAGAGGGAACACATGACACTGGAGTCAGCCTGCGTGCGGGCTGAGGGCGCAGCACAGGCAGGAACATGCTGTGGAGTAGGGGGTCACTGTGAGCCAGGGTGCGGTGCTGGGGTGGGTCAAACAGGTAAGGAACGGCCCCAAGATCTGCACACCCCTTCTGAAAGAGGATGTCAAAGTGTGAGTACAACCAGCAGTGAGGCGTGGGCGCCTCACTGTGGAAAATGTGGGGTGAGCTTGGTGGGAGTGTTGTACAAGCCCTCCCAGCTGCTCCCTGGAAGCTGCATGCTCCTCAGTACCTCTGATCCTGTGCCACTGAAGCTGCAGTTTTCTTATTCTTCATCTTATTATTTGTACTGGTATGGATGATAGGATGAATTGAGCACACTCAAACTGTATAACTTTAAAATGGGAGGTAGAAACAGGTAAGAAGAGGAAGCTGCAAGGCTTTGTGTTGCTCATAGGTTCCTTACAAAGACCCTTGACACCTCTTGCTTTAGAAAAGAGGATAATCTGGTTTAGCTACAGCTTCTGTGACCTGTCCAGGTTCATTCTTTGTCAACTGAACAGAGCAGCTGAAGAATTTTGACTGTTTCTTTGGCCTATACCAGAGCATAATGATGGCCATCCCTGCACAGCAGGAAGGCTGAAATTTCAGAAGAATGAATGATTGCTTCTTGCAGATAAATGACAAAATCTGCCTACTGTCCCCAAGCATCTCAAAGACAGTAATTTCACCCCATTGTTCTGTCAGTATGAAACGTGCTGGGAAATGTCACCAAGTGGTCATGTGCTGGTCTCCCTCTGAGGCAGCTTATAACTGCTCCATGAAGATTCAGCCTTTAAAGGGAGCTTACAGACGAGAGGGAGAGGAACTTCTTACACAGGCAGATAGTGATAAGAAAGGGGGGTTGGTTTTAAACTAAAAGAGGGGTGGTAAAGGTTAGATGTGAGGAGGAAATTCTTTACTCATTGGGCAGTGAGGCCCTGGCATGAGCTACCCAGAGAAGCTGCAGGTGCCCCATCTCTGGGCTGTTTCTTCATGGCCTCTCCATCTGCTCTTCCCTGCAGGACTGGAAGGAGCACCAGCACATCTGTGGTGAGGCCAACGCGGTGACAGTGCAGGCTGATGATGTGCATGTGGCAGACAATGTGATGGAGAAGGTCTCTGTCTGAACACACCTACCTCTGACCCCATGGCAGTGTGGTGCAGCCGGCTGGATCGGCGGCCTGACGCAGCGGTCTGTCCTTACGAACAAACTCATTTCTGAAAGACTTTTTCATACTGTGACAGTGTTTGCCTACTTCCAGTCCTACTGCAAACCTCTGGATAACGCAGAGACTGAGAAATCCGGATGGAAGAGGCAAACTGCAGCCTTCCCTCCAGGAGCCTCCTCCAGCTTGAGGAAGCTTAGATTTTGCCAGACTGAAATCTCCACTGTGTGGATAACAAGAACCTCATCGTCTCTCTTGAGATGGATTAAGAATAGTTGCTGCAATTAGATTTGCTGTTGTTCTGTTTTCCCCATGCCTCCCTACCTCTTATTTGAAAAAAGGAATGATCCCTCATTTGGTTTATTTAATTGCCTTGAAAAAGTACAAACTCTTAATTTGCCTTTGGAAGGACTTTGTTTTGTTTTGTTTATCTGTGTTCCCTCTGTGCTGGAGAAATTTGGAACACACTGGAGCTTCTGCACTTGAATATGACTGAAAAATCACATCTTGTTCAATAAAATTTGATAAAAGCACGTGAACAAATGCAGCATGTGAGGGGTGCTTCCGCAGGGAGTTTTGCACAGAGAGGTGTTGGCTCTTAGTCTTTGCAGGACATCAGTGTGGATGTGATGTGGCAGTGGGGAGGAGCAACTCTCAGCACGGCAGCATGCCCTGACTGCAGCGCCAAAATTCGAGCAGCCCCAAGGTAAGAGTGCACAGAGTGTTCTGGCCTCTCACTGCTGCTTACTAGCTCCTAATTAAAGCAGTGGTGAGCATTAAGAGGTTATTGGCTTTATTCACTACTCCAAAATGCTTTAATTAATAACATGCTGCTTTGATAACTTAGGCTATGGTTGCTATTACTAACTTTCTAGTCGTTCACTGAGATGAGTTTTCATCTTGGTGCTGAGATTGAGCACCAGTGCTGGTGGAAGGAAGGTAGCAGTGTGCCACCCTCCTCTGAAGGAAACCATTCCTTAGTGGGAAGCCAAGCATGAGGTTTGCGGGCTGAGAACAGAAATCACACACAGAGTACTCTGGGGAGGAAAACAGGCAATTCTGTAGAAACCCATCGCAAGCAACGTACCCACTGTTCAAGCTTCCCCAAAGTCATTCTTCAGTATTTGCAGTCATTTCTTCTTACACGACGAGTGCCAGTTAGAAAACTCTTTAAGATAATTACTTAATGGAAAAGATGCTCTTAATTGAACCCACAACAACACAACTAATTTACTAGGTTTCTTGCCTCCATCTATTGTGCATTGAGGTTCTGACTAAAGGAAGCAGTGCGTCGTGCTGAACACCCTGTGCTGTTTAGTTTAAGCACCCATTTGTTCTCAGCTGCATCTTGCATTCTCCCCAGAGGAACATCTCTGCAGAGCAGTGCTGGGCTGGGAGAAGAGCTGTGTGTTGGTTCAGGGACAACTGCAGCTACGCAAAGACATGAGCTCAGCCATACCTCATCCGTGCTTGCCAAACCCACGTTTGTGCAGATAACTGAGCAGCAATTTATACCAATGCAAAAAGCTCTCCAGTATCGTCACTACGCAGCTTGTGGATGAGTGTATCTAATGCTTTGGTTACAGTCTGAATTTTGTTTTTATTGCATCTTCTGATTAAGGAGATTCTGAAGAGCGTGAGTGGGACAAGAGTCCTAAATGAAGATGTGTAGGTATGACTCATGTGTGATTAAAGTTCTCTAGAAGCTTCTCATCAGGGCCCTGGCATCTGGGGGAGCTACCCCCTACAGCACACTGAACTTGTAAGACTGCATTATAGTTGTTGTGGCAACGTAAGCTGTTTATTTGTTGATGATAAATTGGCAAAGCAATCGTTATCCTTAGTCGAAGAAAACCCCCAGACCTCCCAGCAAGTCTTTTATTTCTAAGCACACAAATTACCCCTTGGAAAGCAACAGCCCTGCATGAAAATCATTAGTCAGAAGATTGCCATGCTGTGCAATATCCACTGTCTTGTGGGGTCTCTTGATGTCTACGTCAAGCACCGAGTGTTAAAGAAGCGGCGACGCCTGCAGCTTCCAGTGGGGGGAATATCCCAGCTGTAACCACTGCACTCGCCTGCAACTCCTCGCAGTGGAGACAGGGCTGGGAACCACCGTCCTCCAGCTGCCATCCTGGAAGCATCTTTCTTCTCTCCTTCCTCCCCAACAAAGACAGCAGACCTTAGGCAGAAATAGATCTTTAATGAACTATACAAAGATATCCTGGTTGTTCCCTCCAGTTCCGTGAGCTCAGCAGAAAAGGTGCAAGACTTTGCGGAAGAAGTTCCTAAACTCGGTGTTGAAAATGGTGTAAATGATGGGGTTGACAGCGCTGTTGACGTAACCCAGCCAGGTGACGATGCTGGTGACTTGAGTGGGAATGGTGCAGGACTTGCAGAGAGCCCTCGTAATGTGGACCACAAAAAAAGGTGTCCAGCAGAAGAGGAAAGCACCTGGAAGGAGAAAATTAAAGAGAGAAAGCATTGTGTTAAAAAGGGTTGGAGTTAACAAACGCAGAGCTACGATCTCTCCATGACAAAAATTTTGGTCAACTTCCTAAATGTTAGTGAAGAAAAGGTGTAAGTTGTGTGTCGTCTTTGGGTTAGCAGGAGTCACAAAGCTGACAGCTGAAGTGAAGGTTGAATTAAAAACACCCTATGTGTGTTTTTTCCCAGGAGTGATGCTACTCTGGATCAAAGGGAGACTGAGGCACTCCCTGGACTGGGTTCAACAAAATCCTAAACCCTGTCGGACCACACAGCACGTTTCTCACCGTCCTCGACCAGCCTCTGCCACCGGCCACTCACCAACAACCACAGGCAGTACCCTCATGGCCTTCCGTTCCCGGCCGTTGATCTTGGCCCGCTTCTGACTGTGCGCCGGGTGTGGGTACTTAAGGTGTGGGTAGGAGACAGTCTGGAGCCCATTGCTCATCACATAGTCCCCAGAAAGGGGGTGCTCAGGGTGCACATAACGGTGGTACTCGTCCGGCTCCGTGCCAACCCGCTCTCTCTCAATGAAGGGTGAGGGGTGATAGAGCATTCTGTTGCCCCCGTAGACGCCACCCCTTAGCTTGGCCTTCCTGGCTTCTTCCCAGCGCCTGAGTCCTTGGAACATGGCGCAGTAGAGCACCAGCATGACAGGGCAAGGGATGAAGAAGGAGCAGATGGAGGAGTACACAATGTAGTTGTCATCCTCCAGCTGGCACAAGCTGGGGTCCCGGTTTGGGACATTGTTGAGGCCAAATATGACTGGGGATGCCACAGCAAAGGCGAATATCCACGTGGTGGAGATGAGGATCAGCTGCCGCAGGTCGACCTGTCGCCGGTTGTAGTTCAGCGGGACTGAAACAGCAATAAACCTGCCAACACAGGTGGGTCGGTGCTTGTGTGAAGGTGGCACCACTAGTAGGGTAAGGTAAGAGAATGGCAGCAGCTTGATGCAGAGACATGAGCCCTCTCCTCCGGCGTGAGGAGGAGGAAGGCACTTACCGATCCACACTGATAGCACAGAGGTTGAAGATGGAAGCTGTGCACAGCATCACATCCATGGTCATCAGGGCATCGCAGAGCACAGTGCTGAGGGACCACACGCCACCCTGAAACTTAACGACAAGATCCCTGGTCAGTAGGTGCCTCTAACATGCAGGGAAACAGCTCTGCATATACGTGTATAAAATGCCCCCGGGAGCATCCTTTGGGCAGGGCTTGTCCCCTGACTTCTGCTCCTGCATTCCTGAGGTACATCTGTACCCTGTGCCGGGTACCAGGAGGCCAGCACTACTGGCCAGGGACCAAACCAAAGGCTTCTTCTCCCAGCTGTGGCCCCAAGCAGCACCACTGGACTGAAGGTTTCCAGTTGTGCTGTGTTTCTGAACCAGCCTTTGAGACAGCTCTGTCTGGCGCTCCAGCAGAGATATTAGGGTTGAAATTCCCTCAGGGCTCTTCCTGCTTGAAGCACAGTCTTTCTAAGTCTGGTCCAAGCACTTTGTGTCTCCTTGTGCTCTTTGGCTGTCTAGAGACCTGTGCAAACTTGAGGTTTTTGACATTCATGGTCCTCCCCATTCGCATTTCCAGGAGCAGGCACTCTCCCGGATTAGTATCAGTCAGCACTGATGTCACACACAGGATTATGATTAGTGGAGCTGCAAAGCCAAAGGAGACTCTGGAGAAACTGTTGGGCTATTTTTATACACCCATCTCCTTGAGAGGCCCCATCAGCTTCCAGAAGAACAGTGGAGTCAGACCTGGGAGTTTCATTTGGGCTTTTCTCTAGGGCAGATCAGCTGCTTCAAGCAGAATTTGGGAGCTGAATCCTGAAACACAACCCTCACATTTTTTACCAAAGCTTCACCAGGATCCTGTCCAGTTTCATTGGAGAAAATTTGACTCTGGGCTGTGGTGTTCAAAACCCATTTGTGGTTTCATGGAATGAATGGGTTCTGAACAGGCCCTGAGCTGCTGACCTGCAGCACCTTCCAAGGACTTCCAAGAGCTTTCGCTGTGGAGCTCGTGTTGGGCGCCCTGGAAGTTGAGCACTCCCACAAAATGTGCCTGGAATCCCTCTGGTGGAGGAGTGACTTTGGATTAGAGGCAGAGCTGGCTTTGCTTGGTCATGTGGCCGAATGGTACCTCATTACAGCAGGTTGCAGAAGATTAGCCCATCAAGGTACACAGTGTAAAGCTTTACGGATCACAAACAGCTCAAGCCGCCTTTAACAAGTGCTCCAGAACAACTCTAATTTCCCCCCCCCCCCCCCCACATTCTTTGCTTTTTTTGCATGAGACCCTCCATTTTTTTTCCCAGTAGTGCTGGTGCTGAGAAGAGACAGCCAGGCAGTTGCACAGCAAAGCATGCAAGCTGTCTTCCTTACCAAAATAAAACAAAGCTGCAAATATAACCCCATGAGCCAGCCTATGTCTTTTGTAAGGCATTCTCTGCACAGATCTGGCAAGGTTTCACTCTTATTTCATGTGATAAAAATACATGCTTCTCTCTGTTGCCACACAGGAGCTTCATAGCTGTCCTCTTGCCATCCCTGTGAGAAGGCTCAATGGGAGCACATGAAGAGGACTTCGGCGGGGATGGCATCCAAAATACAATGCTCAGAAAGTAGCAGGCTGCAAACATTAGGAGGCTGTAGAATCTTAACATTGCTAAGGTTGGAAAAGACCTCTAAGATCCCTCACCCACCCCCACCCTGTCCCTCAGTGCCACATCTCCACGTTCTTGGAACTCCTCTGGGACAGTGACTCTACCACGCTTTTGGCAGCCTGTACCAATGCATCACCACTCTTTCGGGGGAGAATTTTTCCCTAATATCTGACCTGAGATGCCCAGCTGGATTTCCAGGTACCTGCCTACCATCAGCAAGGCTGACGGAACCATCAGTTCAAGGGTGTAACACAAAGAAAGTGCTGATCTGAAGAGCTCGAGCCTGCTGAGAAGGATGTGGCACCAGCAATAATCCTGGTGTGTGAGTGCAAAGTCTACTACATCTGATTCCATAAGTTTCCTGAGTGTCCAGAGGAAGCTGAC